CCTTATACACTTCAAAGAAGAATTATAAAAATGGTACAATAAATGATCAGCTGAAGAATCATATATGAATTCGGGATGAGTCAAACGAATCAATAGAATATATTCCTTATTTCGGTTCCATCACACTCTTTATTTGGATAAGAATACTAGTAGCTTCCCCTCTTGCTCTAAGTCCATCGACATGTTTGCACAGCTTGTTGAAAACAGGCAAATGGTTTTACCACTCAAATGCAGGTTAACTTTCTGCACCTGATTTCTCGTTCTTACTGTTGATAAGGGTCGGAAGGCCATTGGATCCAAAGCCATATACGTGGCCCATTTTGGCACGTTTTGTCTCTAAATATCTTTTGTTCTCCTTCGTGATGGGAGTCAGAAGGGGAACCCGTCCTGCAACAGCTAAACCATAACCCTTTAGCCCGCTGTACTTTGCAGGATTGTTTGTCATCAGCTTCATAGTTCTAACCCCAAGATCTCCTAATATCTGCACATACAGATTATACAACTTCATTTCAATGCAATACTAGTAAATTGGTCGTAACTAGGATTTTTATGTGCTGAAGTTAATGTAAGAATGAAAACAGTCAAAAACACTGTCAAGTAGTAGATAATCCAAAACCATATAACTGGAGTCAAATTACTCATGCAAAAAAGTGATGTAATCCCTAATCATGAACCAAAATACGAGAGCATGTTTGGTTGTGCTTAAAATTAACTATAACTTACTGTTAAGTTACTTATGTTGTCAAACATAATTTTAGAAGTTTCTTCTTTACTAAGGGCCTGTCCGATGCAGATTTTTTGCAAAAAATGGATTCTTTGGTGCCAAAGTATGGGTCCAGTAAGAAATAATTTATATAGTGTTGGTAAACCAATAATGAAAATGTTGACTTCTAGCCTATCATTTCAGCAATCAATTGTTGTTGCAGTGACCGATATACCCCTTCATTATGATCAAGCAAGGAAATAAATTTTGTATGGTTTGGGGAGAGAATAACGCTCCTTGTACAATGTTGAGTTACAACATTGGGATACAACCTCTCACAAGGGAGGTAGGGTCCACTATTATTTTAATCGCGGTGCCCACCTCTCTTGTGAGGTTGTAACCCATGTGTTGTACATGTAGCTTTGGTCTTGGGGAAATGCAATAAGGAGAAGAATGGTCATTTTCGGATGCCTACAGATGGGTGAAAGTGGAAAGGATTGGAAATTTCAAACCCTTGTAAACCTGTCAACCGACTCCAACATCTTTTATGCTGAATCGAATAACAAAATGGGCATAGGAGATTCAAAAATTGGACAAGTTGACGGCCAAAGAGTAAATTTTTTCGAGAAAAGAATATGGCTTCAACATAGTGGACTCTCTAAATTTTTCCAAGGTACTTACACGCACTGAAAATGATATGTAATATCAATTTTCACAATCTAAAACCAAAAGTAACATGCCAAGTAACTGAGAACTACTCCTCCATGTTAATTCAATTTAGTAATGTACCTCACCGTGATGAAGTTTTCTCGTTCCTCTTAATGACTATGTAATGAATGCAAACCCAAGCCACTAAACACAATATCTTGCATTTTGTGGTATCATACGTTGAACATACAGCACTGTACAGATTTAAGAGTCAAATAAATACCTCTTTTATTTCTGTATAAATTTCCTCCTGTGTTTATGCCATCTAATCTTCTTCTTCTTCTACAAACCTCTGTGCTTATGTGTGAACTTTTTTATTTCATTTTTGTTCAGGATTGGGGATAAGAGGAGTGGGGCTGCTAGTTTTCATTATTGGTATCGGAGAGCATTACCACAAGTCTGCGCATGTATGCATGCAAGTGTAAGTGTCTGTGTGTGTTAATGTAACTCAAAGAAAATAGAGGTTTTGGCAATTCAATGCTACGTGCTACACGTGTCCAATGCTACATCTTCACATATGACTATAGAGTACCTGTGCACCAATCCCATACTCTCTTGAATCAACAGGCAAACCAAGTTCCTCATTTGCCTCGACTGTGTCACACCCAGCATCTTGCAGGTTGTATGCACGAAGCTTGTGGCCCAAACCAATTCCCCTTCCCTCATGCCCCCGGAGGTAAACCAAGACACCTCTGCCAGCAGCCTCAATCTGCTGCATGGCAAGTGCCAGCTGGCTCCCACAGTCACACCTAGCTGATCCAAATATATCCCCAGTAAGACATTCTGAGTGCACTCTGACTAGAACATCAAGTCCATCACCAATATCGCCCTGCTTACACCATATATGCCATTAGAATAGCTTTCGAAATACATACTAAGTTGAAGCAGAAAACACTACAATCAAGGATCAATGACCAAAAGAATGTACCGAGGAATAGTCAGACTATTAAATTCTATAATCACAGTGCAAATAATAAAATTTCTTGAAAAAATATATCCCTTCAATATTTCCCAAAGTAATCACCTTAACCATGGCAATATGCTCAATTCCATCTAAAATTGACCGGTAACAATGGGCATTGAACGGGCCCCACAAAGTAGGTATCTGAGCAGCAGATGCGTGTTCCACTAATTTATCTCTTTTCCTCCTATATCTGCAAATCATATTTTGTATTAGGCCTCCAACAAGCTATTAAAATTGAAGAAAATTTTGAGCTACAATAAAATATAAGCACAGGAACAAAAGAAAAGGAACAGCAATAAAAATCAGGCATCTTCCTAGTTCCTACAATTTCAAAGCAATTCTAGTGAGTGTGAAAGAAAGTGAGAAACAACATAAAGCACTTAATAACTCTCAACAAGAATTAATAAACTACTGCTTGCAAAATATTGCTAACATGATTTCAACAAAAAAAAACTCTGCAACACCTGATTAAGTCAGCAATAGATATAATCTTGAGGTTTTCTTGCTGCACAAATTGCCGAAGCTTAGGTAATCTAGCCATAGAACCATCATCATCAACAACCTCACATAGAACTCCAACAGGGTCCAATCCAGCTAGCATGGCAAGGTCCATAGAAGCTTCAGTGTGTCCGGCTCTTTTTAAAACACCTCCCTCTCTGTACTTTAAAGGAAATATGTGGCCAGGGCGATTGAAATCCTCAGGCTTTGATTCTTTTGATGCAAGAGCCAATACCGTTGTGGCCCTGTCATGTGCTGATACTCCTGTAGTTGTATCATGTTTTGCATCCTACAAGAAAGTTATTGTGATTTACGCTTATGCAAGTATCTCATATGATCTAGGAGTCATAATCAGAGGCAGAGCTATTGCTTCCACAAAAGTATCTTTTGTATCGCTCATCTCACAAGACTTCATAAAATTGTTACCTCTGTGTGCATATGCGTGTTGGATTGTATAAACTTAAAATAAAAAAATCATTAACTGATTCCACACGTAGCATATGTGGAATATACAGGCTGAAAGTGTTTTATTTTTAAACATAAGTAGCATATTATCCCCATTTGAGAGGGTACTAGCATCGTAAACCAAAATCAAGAGAAAATTACACAACAAAGGTATAGGTATTGAGTGTTCCTGTAAGGTGAAAGAAAGAACTTACCACTGAAACGGTAAATGCAGTACAAAGTTTCTCCTCATTTTCTTTATGGGATACCATGAGAGGAAGCTGCAATCTTTCCAAGTCTTCCTCTTTCATGCTCACACAAACAATCCCAGTTCCATGCTTCACAAAGAAAGCCATAGCCTCGGGAGTAACTTTAGATGCAGCCATTATTATATCTCCTTCATTTTCTCTATCTTCAT